AAAAATTATATAAAATTTCACGTGTTTCACAGGATATTTGAATCATGAGTGTAGCTGCTGTCAGAAAAGTCGAATTTCAGAATGTGAAATCTTTTGTTTCTAATAGTAGCTATAGCGAGTAAAGTACTAGGTTGCTACAACCATACGATAAAATGACAATAAAAACAAATGAAATGAGTGAACACGACTTGTTCAAAGGTGAGAATTTCCAGTAAACTTCAGTGTGGATTTGCATTTGCACGGACCACGACAACGTTTTTAATTTTACCGAAAATAGAAAAGCTAACTATTGGGAATTTTTTTCCCCACAGATCCTTAAGTGTTCATTTTATTTTTAAAGTATAGGCTCACTGCAATGCAATAGTTTACACTGTCACCAAAATTGTTGGTTTAAACCTCCCATTCTTCTCCAAAGACACACATTAGTGGTGTTTTTGAATTGGTCGTTGGTGTGGTTGTCTGTCTCTGTGTTTGCTTGGTAGTTGACCGGCAGCCAGTCCAGGGTGAAGAATTTGGTTCGATATTTATAAAATATGCTAAAGAGTTAACTTTTACTTTTGTGTGCAATCTCATTTGTTACTGAATCCAGTTATGATTTTTTTTAATTATTGCTTTGTGCTGAAAAATATTTAAATTTGGGACAATTGAGACCTTTCTTGGACTTGCTCAGGGGGGCCGAGAACCAATAGCACTTCATCATCTTGCCGCTCCTACCTAATCAGCTCCTGTTGGACATAATGCTGTAGGCTTTTGGTGTCATTAAGGTCTTCTGTGCACAATAAATCATCACCTTTCCACTTTTTTTGTTTAGCTTTAAAAAAAGTTGTTGAAAGCAAGTTTTTTCTTACCTGGGGGTGAAAATCTCAGTTTTGTCTAATTTTGACTCTTTGTATAACCTGCTACCCTTCTTCTGTCTTTCAGGTGGAGACGGAGAGTCAGGAGCTCGTTGACGGCTCCCTTATCGACCTCTGCGGCGCCACCCTGTTGTGGCGCACTGCTGAAGGCCTGGCCCGCACTCCCACCCTGAAACACCTGGAGGCGCTGCGGCAGGAGATCAACGCGGCCCGCCCGCAATGTCCCGTGGGCTTCAACACGCTGGCCTTTCCCTCAATGCGTCGCAAAGACACACCTGACGAGAAGCAGCCCTGGGTCTACCTCCAGTGCGGTCACGTGCACGGCTACCACAACTGGGGCAACCACCGCGAGGAGAGGGAGGGCCGGGAGGGCCGCCTCAGGGAGTGTCCCATGTGCAGAACCAAAGGGCCGTACGTGGCGCTGTGGCTGGGCTGCGAGGCGGGCTTTTACGTGGACGCGGCCCCGCCCACTCACGCCTTTAACCCCTGCGGTCACGTTTGTTCGGAGAAGACTGCGGCCTTCTGGAGTCAGATCCCGCTTCCTCACGGCACACACACCTTCCACGCCGCCTGTCCCTTCTGCGCCCAGCAGCTAAGCGGCGAGCAGGGCTACGTCAGACTCATCTTCCAGGGACCCCTTGACTAACGGCGGGAACTTCCCAGCATTCTTTGGAGGTTTTATTTGGATGCTGACCCCGTATTTAACACGGGGACCTTCCCAGATCTGTTTTTTTCTGGACTTTTTGTCTCTCTCTCATTTTTAAGTGACCTTTGTATTGCTTTTTCATGAATGACGACAAAGATTTCTATATTTTCACGTGAAACCAGAGACAGAAAAACCAAACAAAGAACACTGCTGGGTCAAACCTTTTTTCGCGTTTGTTTCTCGGAAAGGACTTT